TTGTTGTCGTAGACCGGCTTACAAAGATGGCACATTTTGTCCCTTGCAAGAAGACATCGTCAAGCGAAGACACAGCAAGACTCTTTCTTGATAATGTGTATCGATATCATGGTCTACCAGATGATATCGTATCGGATCGAGGAACCCAGTTTGTGTCAAAGTTTTGGAATCTCTTTTTGAATATTGAAGGTGGATATCAAGCTTTCTTTGGCATTTCACCCTCAAACGGACGGCCAAACAGAACGGGTGAATCAAGTTTTAGAGCAATATTTACGTTGCACCATCAACTATCAACAAGATGATTGGGTCGCATATCTACCGCTAGTCGAGTTTGCATATAACAACACCCTTCATGCGTCAACTCAACAAACGCCATTCTTTTCCAATTATGGATACCATCCGAAGCTTGACTTATGGAGTTCGTCAACGATTAACAATTCGACAGCTGAAGGATTGGTGAAGGAGCTTTCGCAGCTTCAAACTACATTGAAGCTTCAATTGCAAACTGCCCAAGAATCTTACAAGGCATCCGCGGACAAATTTTGGAATCACGCACCTAAATTCACGATTGGAGACAAAGTTTGGCTGCTTCGACAAAATATTAAGACCAAGAGGCCATGTGACAAATTGGACTATCGGAGATTGGGACCATTTGTTATCCAGAAGCAGATCAATCCTGTAGCATATCGTCTGGAGTTACCAGCTACTATGAAGGTACATCCTGTCTTTCATGTTTCTTTGTTGGAGCCTTATCGAGAATCGTCTTTTCCTGGAAGAGTACAATGTCTACCACCTAGCATAGAAATAGAGAACCACGAAGAATACGAGGTGGAAAAGGTCCTGGATTCACGGCAAAGACGGGGTAAATTAGAATACTTTGTGCATTGGAGCGGTTACGATATTAATGAACGAACATGGGAGCCGGTCGAAAATCTCGTGAATGCGCCGCAAAAGGTACAGGAGTTTCATCGACGATATCCTGAGAAACCCAAGTCGGTTCGACGATAGCTTCTTACTGAAGCTTGCTCATCCAGAAAACAGAAAAGAGGAGAGAGCACCACCAAAATCCATAGTTGATGTAGTCATTCTCTCCAAGATAGCGTAGAACTTTGTTAGTAGTCCAAGTTTGTTCTTATTATTTTAGCCTTTGAATATGGATAGCCAAGATACTACACTTGTCATGTCATCTCAAGCAACTAGCTCACGAAGACGACCGCGAGATGAAGAACCGCCTACACCACGACGACGTCGAAGGATTCCGAGCAACAGATCGCTGGTGATTGTATTTGAGGTCGAGCCTGCCTACAATGGTCAGCCAGAAAGAGTGTTTGCAGGACAATTTCACAATGAAGACACGGAGGTTCATGCTTGGTCAGAAGTTGAAGGCGTGGGCCACTACCGTTGGCTTCAAGGACCATTGAATCACTTGCCTCGTGAACAACAATTGGAGTTCATAATAGAGGTTATGCGACAGATCTTCATTTTCTTGCGTTGGTATTGACTGACGATAACATTGCTTCTCGGAGACCTCGAAGCTAAAGGAGGAGGTGATGTTAGGGACATAGTCCTTAGACCTTTCTAGAGACAAGTTTCTAGAACCTTCTAGAAAGAAGTCTCTAGAAACTTCCAGAAGATTCCTTCAATATTCTCTTAGAATATTCTTCAAAGATTCCCTAAAGATTCCCTTAGAAGGCTCTAGAAGATTCTTAGAATATTCTAGTAGATTCTAGGAAGTTACTTGAGAAGCTTCCTAGCTCTTGGGTAGTTGCTCGAGAAGCTTCATAGTTCTTGGGAAGCTTCTTGATGCGCTTCCTTAGAACCATAGGCCAGTAGTATATATAGGAGTCGAGGCTGAAGAGTTCTTCAGTCTCGACAACACATCTCTTGGAGTTCTAGCTCACCTTTCTGGTGTTGTTCTTGTACTCATTTGTTTAATCTAGTTCTGCCACTTCTTCTTGAACTTCTTGTTAGATTTCAAGTCTGTATTTTGTGTCCGTGACATTTTGTGGGCTACGGAATAAAGATATAGTAAAACAACAAATAGGTTGGGAAGAAAAAGAAGGACCTTAATAAATTTGAGGTGTTGAAATGTACAACTACATAGTCTCTATTATTGCTAAGTCTCTTCATTTTCTTAAATGATTGTACTTCTAGTCTTGGTTGTATGTTTTTTTTTTTAGATAATTCCTAGATTTATGTCTTTTACTATAATATAAGCATAGACCTTGTTGAAATTGATATTTCTTCTCCTTTGCTATAAGAAGTTTAAATTGTACTATATTTGGATATCTTTAGTTCTAAAGAGTGGAAGTAATGTATTTGTTGAAGTAGCAAAGTACAAAATTTTAGTGTATTACTTTGTCAAAGTCCATAAACATTATCTTGACAACATTAAAATAATCAATTATTATACTTCATAGCTTGTTTGATAGCTTCATTGAGTGTTTGAAGATCAAGTAATAATAATAATAATGGATCTTTTATATCATTTCTTAAATTCTAATAGAATTGGCTTAAAAAAGCTTATTCATCTTAATTAATGTTACAAGCCAATTGCCTAAAATCATATACATAAATTGATGCAAAACGTGAACCTTAACATATGAGTAAATCTTTGTTGTTTTTTTTATCAAGCCTTGTCATGTTGTCCAAATACTTCCATAAATGCTTCTAAAAAAGCTTTAAAGTTTCTCAAGATTAAACATCTCTTATCAAATAAAGGAGAAAAACAAAATAAGGCTTATCTTGTGAACAAGATTCCAACTAAATCAACTTATGATTCTTTTGTTGGATAGCATTCAGGTTGTAAAAAAATTACCAATCAAATTTGGTTAATCAATCCTTGAAACTTTAAGCATGTGATATCAATTTTTTTTAGATGATTAATTTGAGGCTCTTTATATTGTTGAATAGGTAATTTTTTTTTATTGAGGTATATGTACCAATGCCTTTTTGGATGTAGAACCTTGAGAAAGTGGTTGTATGAAAAATTGACCTGCTTTAGGTCTTGTATCACTAAAAAATCTTACAACAAATCCTTCAACTTTACCAGTTCTACGAGCTAACATATTCGATGTGTTTATAATAATATCTAACTTGGATTTGAGAGAATCAACCATGTTAATATCTTCATGTCAAGCCATCTTACAAAAAAAGAAAACTAAAACAATATCAATTCCAAAGAGGATACTCTACAACTACTAAAGTACTTAGATGCATTCAAGAAGAGGAGTAATCCATTCTCTATCAAAAAAGATCAAGATTTAATATTGATAAGAAAGAAATTTTAACAAATTTTCATGGATATACAATATAAGAGATCAAACCAAAAGTTGAACGAAAGAGTTTTAATAAGAAAGCTAACACAAACTTGATTAAACCTGATGTGTATAAGATCTATACTAAGAAAAGTGAGCTAAAGCTCCAAAAGATGTGTTATTGAAACTAAAGATTTTCTCAACATTGACTCTAATATATATTAGGTATTAGGAAGCTTCTCAAAAAGTTCCCATATTACTTGAAGATGAAGCAACCTTAAAAAGCTCTTTAAGAAGTTTCTATGTTGCTTGAAGATGAAGCAACCTTAAGAAGGTTTTTAAGAAGTTTTCATATTGCTTGAAGATGAAGCAATCTTAGAAAGCTTTTCAAACAACTTAATCCTCTTGGAACTTTCTAGAACTTGCTGAAATATTCTAAGAACCTTCTAGAAATTTTAAAAAATCTTTTAAAATATTCTAAAACATAATAGAATATTCTAAGAATATGATTATAATCTTCTTGTTGAATATTTGTAATTGAAAGACCTATTAACCACCTTCTAAAAGAACAAAGATTAGAGTATGTAGCAAATATAACTTGTCAAATCTTGGACTTCTTCAACATATGATGATTGCTCTTTGTGAAACTTGTCTCTAAGAGAGATAATGTCACAAATATACATATTTATCTAGATAAGTAATACTAGGTAGAAGATAAATATATGTAGATTTAATATTATCTTGTGGCAAAACTTCTTAGAAGATTTATAAACACATATTTGATTTTATACATATTTATAGTTGATTGGTAGATTAAAAACTTAGCCAAAAAATTAGCTACGTGTTGCATGTATGGGTAGCTTATGGTATAAGCTTTTGATGTGGTGTGCATATAAGAAACTTGCTTTGTAAATTAAGATTCGTGTCTTGCAAATTAGACATATGTTAGAGGTTCTATATGACATTGCTACATAGATCCTATTTTGATAGTATAGAGAGGCAAAGGTGAAGTCTTCTTCACTCTTGTCAATGCCTTTTTAATCCTTAGTCTTATTTCAAGACTTCCTACTCTTCTTGTCTTTGACAATAGCCATTTTAGTTTCAGCACTATATTAGTTTTGAGTGTTTTTTTTTTTTTTTTTTTTTTTTTTTTTTTTGAGTTACACAAGAGCATATTGAATTTTTCGATCCTTGAGATTCATGGCCTTGATAAAAAGGGCGAAAGAGAATATAAGGGTCAAGCAAAGGAGCTCAAAAGGAATTAGTGGTCCAAAGGGAGCTAGCCTCTCAATCTATACTTTAATACATGATACTTGTAGAAAATTTTCCATGATTTGAAAAATAACTTAAAAAAAATAAACCTATATAATATCTTTTATTAAAATCATATTTTTAAGAAAAATAAATAAAATTTAAAATAAATTTAAATAAAATAAAACTCATTTTAAATGAGTTTTATTTTATTTTATTAAAATATAATGTCATAATTTTAGAATATTTACAATAGAGCATGTGTAAATTAAATATTTATTACAAAAATGAAATAAACAAAAATGAGAAATGGATTATGAGTTCCCAACCTGCCCGTCCCCCTGGTTCCCTACGTTCCCTCTCTCTGTTCTCAGTAATCCGATCCGCGGTTAGGATTGAATCGAAGCGACAGCTGCGATCCGACGGCCCACGATGGCGGAACCAGTCAATTGAGTTCATAGTTCCTGTGACACAATTCTGCTAGGGTTTGATAGTGATGCCCTCGCACCAACGTAGACCTGAACACGAAGCTGAGACGAAGAACGCTTAGGTTTACGAAGTGTATCCATATCTTGTGCGTTTTCACCTGGTTATTCAGGCTCAGACCGATTTGCGTTCGAATTCTAACAATTTGGTTCCGATGGTTTCGTCTATCCGGCCTGTTTAAACTCGGCTGTGGTCATAAACATTAAAAGTTCAAAGAGACGCCATGGATGTTACGGAAGCCAAGCGGGAGACGAAGGACATCTTGTTTCGTCGGATCGGAGTAGACCTGACCTTGCACGACGGAACCGCGGGTTTCGAAGATGGGATCGTTCCTGTCAGGGGACTGGAAGTTGCCAACAAGTTTGGAATTACATTTGTTGTGTATCCAGGAGGTGAGCGAAAAATAACTTGACTGTCCATTGCGTAGATTGTGAAGAGATTTGTGGTCCACAAGCTGTCACTTATTATTGTGGTCTTTGATTATAGCTTTTTGAGTCTGAATTAAGTGTCTGTGTTCAAATCTGTTTGTAGTCCGTTGAGTTACAGCTCCACAAAGCTTTTTAAAATTTTGAAAATTGATATTTGAAAATATATCTGATCTTGAAATTTCCACCTAGAGGATCCCGAGGTTCTTTGATCACAGCTATTTCGTGGATCCTCCGACGGTAGAGTTCATTTACCTCCTGGCGGGTACCTCAATTTGAGTTAGAGTAGAGAGATCTGTAAACGTGCAATTTATTGAGACTGGTTTAGGGTTTAAAGGTTTAGATCGTGTACTTGGAGCCATGTTGCCATTGGGAAGGTCAAAACTAGGAGTGCCCGCACCGAGCCTTTCGTCACTCAATACCTTATCGATTCTTGCTTTCATGAACGTTGATTGCTCCGCGCTTGATCAACTTCATCTGTAGTTTCCATGGAGCCTCCCATGAGGTTAAAAGTTTACTCGGAGAGTTACATAAATGATAACCAGATTGTAATGATTTCCGGAGCAGGTTTCATTGTCAGAGAAACTTCTGGACTTGTTCGTATGGCACTGCAAGCAAAGGATGGTAGAAGTAGCACAAAGGTGCAGCAGGGTGACTACGTAGATGTACAAGTACCTGGTGTTTATATATTGTCTCTCTCACGAGACGAGCTGACTTTGGCCGCATGCGTCAGCGAAGGGACAGTTCGATTCTATGACGTTCCTACACTCTTCAAGGAGGTATCCTTTGCACTGCGAGTCTACGTCCGCTTCTCTGCTTTGGAGTTGTTTCTTTTGGGTCCTGCTCGTCGTCTCTTTAAACTGGGCCTAGTTACTTCACCAACCAATGTATGTAAAGGTTAGAAATGCTGTTCAGGCATTGTGTTTTATGAACCTATACAAGTTAAGTAATGACGCAAATTAACTGTATTTGGTTCTTAGACGCAAGGTGATAACTCTGTGTGATGCAGTTGGACAATATACCATTAGAATCAAGGGATATTCCTGAATGCCATATAAAAGATTTCAGATGGGGTCCTGCCGATGACACCTATCTCATTTTATCGAGGGAAGGCCAGCTCTTTTCAGGGCGTGTTGGGGAAACACCTTCGCGTCTTGTAAACAGTGATGCTGTAGCAGGTGATATACGTGGCATTGGTCTTGAAACAACATGCTACATTGGTGATCAAAGGGTCGCCGCATAAAATTGAACCTTCACCTGGATCTCGCTTGTGCTTCCGACTTTACACTAACATAATTCATTTTCTATTGCTTTTGGTCCTGCTTGAATTGACGGGGTATATCAGGGCACAACGGAAGTAACTGGTGTCATGGTTTATACCGTAATTGCAGTGTCATGGAGTCCAGATGGGAAACACGTCGCGTATTTAACTCAAGGCGGCGCTGTTTGCGTAACCAATTCCAGGGTTGAGTTGCAGCACAGCTTTGAACTTCCTTCTCAGCTCGGGGACTTGACTGAAAATTTGCATGGTAAGTGCTTCACAAGTGATTATAAGATGACATACCCGTGGACTACTATTCTGAGCTTCTGCCCTGGGCAAACAAACATTTTACTGTTGACGGTTGGATTGCGATGTCCAGATTTTGCATGCAATGCAGTTTTCGTGATTGTGTAGTTACTTTCAACTTTGTAGCAACTTATTCTGGGATGGCAAGTTTTGTCTCACACACTCTCTCTCGCTCTCTCTCTCTCTCTCACACACACACACACACACACATATATATATATATATATATATATATAATAAAGATACATTTGACGAATACAGTTTCCGAGCACCCTACCAATTATCTGTGCAAGAAGTTTTGAGTCTACAAGTTTTTATTTTATTTTATCTTATAGCTTTTTATTCATGCTGCTTTGAATGGGATCGAATCGTGAAATTTATCTCCATTTGACTCATCTCATATTTGGAGTGGGTGTTAATCGCGTATTCATGCCCTGGTTTCTATGCTTGTCTACAGTTGAGAGCGTAGAATGGATTCGCCTTGATGCAATGCTGGTTTCCTACACTCAAACCAATGAGGATGGAGAGGACGAAGAGTGTCCTCTTATACTCGTGACTTCCAGGGAGGGAGATTTTACGAAGGTGAATTTTGCAGCAGAGCGTTCTATCAAGGCATTTGATCTGTATTCCTGACGTCTGTTTGAAGTACAAGCTGTTAATCTCTCTGGACTTAATCTAAATTGTGTGCGAGTTTCGCTTGCAGAAAGATGGCACAATTACAGCAGTTTCGTTCGACAATACGTTTCCTTCTATCGATTCCAGAGTTCTCCCGCCAGCCAGTGGCCCGTACATGCTTGCCAAATATATTGAACCTTGGTGAGATGATGAAATTTTTTCAGATGGTTAAACTTCTTCTAGATCTGTTACAGATGGCAATGATTTTGCGGCTATGTGGTGAACTGGTTGTATTCAGCTGCACTGAAGCCTCCTGCTTCCTCATGATTTAACAGCTTGGATCATTGACATGTGAGGTGCAACTTCTGCACATGATATTTTTACTGTAATTTATATTGGTTGCCTTCATTACATCTACTAAAATGCTGTATTTCATATGTATGTATCATAATTTTGCAAGTGAGAGGTTTTTGTGTTATCAGGGATATGGTGATTGCTGCAAGCAGGCGCAGCGTGGATGATCACATTGTCACTCTGGGGTTGCCTTCAGAGAATCATGAAGCGATTAGTTTTGAACTTAGCAATGATACCTGGCTACCTCGTATTGAACTTCAAGGTGATTTGATTCTGCATTGTCTTTCAATTTTTATGTTTTGTCCTGTGAAGGTTAGGCCTATCATCTTCTTGAGTAATGGGATGATTTATATTTTTTAAGCTGGTGTTGACAAGTACAGAGAACGGAGATGATAATATTCTACTTGGGCTTTCTGTTGTTACCACTACCACTGATCTGCAAGAAGCGGACCCTCGTGATGACAGTGGAGACACGAAGCTCCCTGCGTGCCCAGTTTTGATGTGCTTATCGCTTGGAGGGAAGCTTAGTCTTTTCTTGGTGGCTAGGTACTGTTTAATTTCATGTTTGAGTAATTGATGTTGACAAGGATGCAGAAGATGTGTCCCATGTCAAATCACTTCTTTCGGGGGTGTGTTGTGCATCTGTTTGAAAGTTCTGCATGTGTTTGGATGGTGCATGTTTCACTGTTATTATGTCAAATACTTGCAGTAATATCTGGAAAACTGTTTGTTTATATTATTATTTTTTGTGTGTCAGGCTCGATAAGAATTCCCTTGCTATGGAGTTCATTTCTCCTCCTTCTAAGCTTCCGAAGGTTACTCGTTCTAAATCCAAGTCAAAGTCTTCTGGAGATATTGCTTTAGAGGCCTCTCAACAGTCTGCCAACATAGAAATTCCCGTTTCACAACATGCAGAAAGCAAGCAGACTAGGGAGGGAACAGAAGATGAACCTTCCGTGATATCTGGAAGTGATGCGAATAGAGAGAACGATGGCAACGATAACGATGAAATTCTCTCACGCCTCCCAGCTTCAGGTTTTATCCTTGTTCATTTGGTTGAATGGGTTTGCTGAACATTATACATCATTTAGCTGTACATCGTATGTGCTGCTCTTCCTTTCGTTTGAAGTTTCACACTGAAGGCAGTCGAGATATCACAAGAAATTAGCATTTGTTCTTTTTATAAGACAATGAAACCCAAAAGAGTAATCTCTTTTTCTCAATTTGAATCATAACATCATTGCCACAGGCAGATATGGAAAGTTGTCAGAGGCTCTAAAGAAAGGTCCCTTACTAAAGGGGGAGGGTTCTCTGTTATCTAAAGAGACTCCATCAATGCCAAGTCTACAAACAGCTGGATCTTCAGCTTTGATCAGCCTTGGATCTGCAGGAACCAGCGACATCAGCCATTTAAGCACAGTGAAGGGTGCTCCATCTGACATCGGCCAAACGCAGCAAACAGGACCTACAAATCAACCCCCTTCGCTTCTAACCAGGACTGTACCTGAAGTGCAGTCTGCTACTAGTCAAACTTCTCTACTTTCTCATCTAATAAACTCACAGTCATTTAGCTCAGGTCTTTTTGGCTCGGTAGGAAACGGTGAAAGCACTCGCCAACCTACCCCACCTTTCCAGGGCACGCCTCCTGCTTCTTCATCATTCGGTAATATTCGACCCTCCGTCCAATTTACTCCGACCTCGCAAGGCCCACTAGCCTCTAACCTTAAAGCTCCTGAATCATCTGGTTTATTTGGCTCAATGGGAAACGGAAAAGGTGCTCTTAAGGGATTGCAGAAAACCAATTCCAGTGGAGCTAGAACGCTTTCTGGATCCTCAGCGAAACAGTCAGGTGTTTCAGAACCTGAGCAAGCCTTCTATGATCAATTAGAGCAGGTAAGCACTGACCTCACGACGGTAGAGGGGAACTATCTTTTTGTGAACCTCTAGGTTTCCATGATTGCTGAGATCACATGCTCCTTACAGGTTTCTTGTAATTCCTTGACAATGTCATTATGTTATAAGATTTCTGGGTGTTGACATGCCAATGGATCGCCGGCTAGGCATTTTGGTGATTCACCTCACTTATTCTGATAATGATAATGAAGAATTTAGGTCGAAAAAATGAACCGTACTTAACCTCCCTGTTCTGTCTAGCTTGAGTTTTTATAGTTAGCAGTTTCACCCAATACTCATTACAAAGTGCATTTTTTGTAGATAAGAAGAATGGGTGGTGAATTGGATAATCTTATGGCTTATATTGAAGGACGGGGTGAGAAGACCTCAGGCAATCATCCTCCGTGCTTTACAAAGAATTCTCTCAACGAGCTGGAGTTGGAGCTTCGGAACCTAGCTGATAATTGCAAAACGGCCAAGGTCTGTTGTGAGAATCCTTAGTGTCTTCCCTCTTACGTCATTGTTCAGAGTCGCTGGTCCTCATGTTGTAGACGTTCTGCTGAGAATTCAACTATCGTGATGTGCTGCATGTTTTTTTAATTTCTATTTACATAGTTTCAGTACATGTCTTCTAATCTTCTGATTGGAATTTGTATATTGTGTTTATTCTTAAATAGTTGTGTTGTAAGTTAAGTTTTTTGCTTGTTATTATGCAGGAGCGGGTAGAAGCACAGAGACAGAGTCTTAATAACTTGCGCGATGAAAATTTGCAATGTAAAATACCTTAATCTGTCCTTCATTTTCAGTACTTTACTCATCACTTACTTGGTAGAAGTTTAATTTTGTGAAGGGTTACAACTTATTAAGTTCTGGCTGGAGTATGTACCTGGATTGAGTTCTTGCTAAAAGCTTGTAATTGTAAAACTTCATTACTTATTTTTTTGATCCCAAGTTCGAAGTCGTTGTAAAATGAGCATGCACCTCATGTAAGCTCACAATTGTAATGTAATGATGAATATCCAAGCAGTAGAAGCGTGGAGATTGTACATTCGAAGCAAAACAGAACAAGCCGGAGACAACCGGCATCAAGAGCTGTGGATTCGGCGCAAATTGACACCAGATCTGGACGTGAAACGGAAACGCGTTACCAAGGCAGAACAGGTATGCCGAAGCATATGCAGCCCATCACTCGTTTCTGAGCAGTGTGGTGTCTTCAATATATCCTGCCCATCCACCTTCAAAAGTGTTATCTTGCAGATCTGCTATAGCTGAATGTACAAATGTATCTAAAGTCGTCATCTTTTCTCTGTCTTGAAATTGATTTACATGTTGATGTCTTTTGTTGATAAAGCAACAATTGAAATGAATGGCAGGCCCTTAAGCAACAGATTGCTGCATTAGAAGAACATATTCACCACCTGGAGCTTGATAATAGAAAGCGGGTTGTTAGTCAAAAAGGTGGAGTGAACATAAACCGGCAGACAAGCGCAGGGTATGTGTGCTTACTGTGTGTTTATGAAGCATTCCGTCTGAGGATAAACTTCTACCTGTGCTATGGATACAACCTTGGGTGGATCGTTTCACATGCTGCTCTAGAGTTTGTAGTAAGTTATTAACTACTTTGTTTTTGAACAGGCGGAGTCAGTCGGTTCAAAATCTTTACAGCACGGTAAATGGACTTCTTGCCTCGGCAGACCGTCTTTCTCAACAGGTGGCTCAGCAAATGGAGGTGCTACATATATCTGCACAGCCACGAACAGCTCAAAAAATCATGCTATCTGTTGGTTTGCCTTCGGATGGGACCTCCCATGTGCAAACTCGACCAACTTTCAGTGGAACCGTACCTAGTCCTCTTGCTCGACAACAATCATTTCATTCTCCATGTATTAAGGCCGAGTTAGGGTTGCCAATACACACTACTCCACCTAGGCGAACTATCCCCTCTGACTCTGGAGTCGGGGCTCCATCGATTACCAGGAGGAGAAGGGATTCCATGGATGGGGTATTGTATTTTGTAATCCTGTTTTGAAATTTCGCATTCGCGTACCAAGGCTAATTCACAGAACGAACTTATTCTCGGGGCTCGATATGGATCGTCTAGGCTCATGTTACTAGTTTTGAATATTCCCTCCTTATTGAATTCAGTCTCTGGAAGGATGTTATTCATTCTCATGTGTTAATGACGGTACGTTGATTCAGCGTGGTCCATATTAATTTGGATTTTGATTTATTTTTCTTACGACTGGGGTCGTCATTGAAAAAAGTTCCTGTGGGAATGTTGTGGTCTCGCTATGAAAGCTTCATATCAGAATGTTCTGTCGCAGGTTCAGAAGGCGTTAGCGTTGGCAGGAGGAGCTTCTCCAAAGACAATGATTGAACGAGTCTCACATCACACACCCTCTCATCAACCAAATGCCTCTAAGCAATATGTTCGTCAAAGATCATTTCAGGTATACACTTGCCATTTCCCAGTTGTGTGGCTTGACGCTGGGATTGTTGAGCAGAGAGAATCAGTTGTTCTGATTTATAATGCAGCAGACTTTTGATAGCCATCTTCCTTGAGTGCTTCGTTTAGGTTCATATTGTCATCAGTTTCTGGATTTTGCTTGCATTGTTAAATGTAAAAATGGAGACACGATTTCTAGCATAATATACTGAGCATTATATTATTTTTCAAGCAGGAGTCTTCTGAGAAGATTTCCTCCCATCCTCGACATGTGAGGCGAGTTTTATCAAGTCAAGCACAGTCGGCAACTTCAAGTTCTGCTCCATCCATATTAAGTGTGCCAAAAAATAAGGCCTCTTCTATCCCCATTGGATTCTCCGAAAATTCCGCCGTCACGAACCTGGAGGGTTCACAAGCTTCTCCTTTCATGTCTGAACGAGAACCCAGAGATATTCGACCTGATTCAAAAAGTGCAGGTATGATTTTGTTCTGCATAGGAGCAATTTACTGTGTATACTTATAGAAATGCCCAAGTTCATCGTCCAGGCATACAACCATACAACAAATCATATTCTTTTCACGGAATTATTTTTTTGGTACTAGACAACTTCCATGGACTTCGCTGATCTCTTTAGTTCTGATTCCTTTTAATTGTACTTTCATAAGGATAACAGTAATTGCAACAATCTAAGGGTGCAATAATCTGGGGAACTTCTTTTCAATATAACCTTACCTGAATTGCAGTGCCCTTGTCTCACTTGCACTGTTAACGTGCTCGTCTTGTAAGGGAAGAATTCTTATCAAATAGCTTTTTGCGGTGTTCTGGCAGTTCCTAGAAACTCCTCATCTATCGCTGAGAAGTCGGTACCTACTCTGACTTCAAGGTTTGGACCACCACCTGGGAGGACATCATCAAGCCCTACTTCAGTTGTAAGCACAAGTTCTAATGTGGGCGTTAGTTATTCTACTGGATCACTCTCGTCAAATACTTCATCAGAGAGCGTCTTTAAGTTAACCAACAGCAATCCTTCCAACCCTGCACCCTCTTTCTCATTCGCTACAGCACCATCATTTGCAAAACCGACCGGTACCTCGGGCACATCTGGGTCCATGTCTTTTGGAAAGCAAGTGAGCAACACAAGCTCATCAAATGAGGGTGCAACTGTTTCATTACCAACTTTGTCCAGCTCCGCAATTGGTTCCGCTACGTCCAATGCTACGACTGGAGTCTCGGCTACCACAAAGCTGGGGATCGGGAGTACTAAATCTGGTTCTGGTTTCAATTCGAAGCCTTCGGTGGATAGTGAGAAAGAAGACAAGCCTAATTTTGGATTTAAGCCACCTTCCTTTGGAATCCCTGCTTTCGGTACTTCCTCCTTCAAGCCGGTTGCTACTCCATCTTCAGCTATAGCTTCCCCTGCAGTGACGTCTGCATCATTTGTACCCCAGGTAAGCATTTCTGGGACTGTTCTAACAAATCCATCGCCATCTCAAGTCCTAGGCAACCATCCGCCTTCCTCGCCCAATGAATCTGCTTCTCCAACTCTCGACCAGGCACCATCTGCCAAGGGAAGTATGCTTTTTGGACAAACTTTCACACCAACTTCAACTTCCCAGACTCCATTTGTTTTTCCTGCGGCAAGCCCTCCAACAGCGACCTTCAGTGTGCCACCAATCACGACTCCTGAATCGGATGAGGAAGACATGGACGAGGAACAGGGGACTGGAGGAACATCTGTAGGAGGGTTCAATCTTGAGGGTTTAGGGCTAGGGAGCTGCAGCACTGCACAGCCTCAAGCCCCGAAGCCTAGCTTATTCGGAAACTCTGTGCCATTTGGCACGCAGCAAACCTCTTCAGGATTTGGTATGTCATCACCGCAGGGTCAACTTTTCAGGCCACCATCATTCAGTTTGCCATCTGCTCAGTCACCTCCACAGACGAATGTAGGATTTGGTTTTGGACATCCCACTACGTCACAAGCTGGATCTAGTCCGTTTGGAACAGCCTTTGGAAGCACTACAAGTAACCCTCCTAGCGTTAATCCTTTCGGAACTACTCCAGCAGGGTCTGCTACAGCATTTGGAAGTCCTGCGCCGCCTGGAGCAGGTGGTTTTGGTCAGCCCTCTCAAGTTGGACCAGGACAGAAAGCTTTAGGTAGTGCACTTGGAACATTTGGTCAGACGAGGCAAATGGGATTTGGGTCGACAACCCCATTTGGCTCCACACTTAGTGCAGGCTTTGGTAGTACTCCTTCAGGAGGAGGCCTTGGTAGTGCTGCCACAATAGGAGGTTTCGCAAGTGCTGCCACGGGAGGGGGTTTCGCGAGTGCTGCCACGGGAGGGGGTTTCGCTAGTGCTGCCTTGGGAGGGGGTTTCGCGAGTGCTGCAACTGGAGGGGGTTTCGCGAGTGCTGCCACCGGAGGTGGTTTCACTAGTGCTAGTGGAGCGTCAGGTGGTGGTTAGTTCTTCCTTCACGTCTTACTTGAATCTTTCCTCATTGTTTCAGACGGAGTTGAGAAAGTACATGATATGTGCTAGCTCTGGCGGCAGTGATATATTGTTCTAATCAATTTTCCGTCTTAGTATTTGATGCCTCCGTTACCAGTTGTATTTAGTTGTACTGGATTTTGAGTCAGCGGGATAAAGTTGTAACACACTTTTAAGTTTTGAAAGCTTTGGTTCCTTTTTCTTTGTTACGTCACACTCATCATGCTTAATATTTATCCCTCCTGACTTAAAGAATTTTTAGAAACAATTGCAAGAAAGAATGAGTTCAATACATTATTTGTTTTTTTAGCGCTGGAAGTTTAACTGCAAGTTCTGTTTATGTGTCTAGGTTTTGCTGGCGTAACTGGAGGAGGTTTCCAAGCATTTGGAGGGGGAGGACAGCCCGCATTTAGTTCCTCAAGTCCTTCAGCTCCAAGCCTATTCACTCAAATGAGAAAGTAGTGTGATGTGCTTGGTTCCTGATTGTACAAGCGTGTTAAGCAGTGTTAAGCAGTCTCAATTTTATGTTGTTTAATGAACTTAAGTAACTTTACAGTTTCAATTGAGATACAACTTTGTGCGGCATGTAGGCATAAAGGGGGTGAATTTTCATATTATCATTAGATGTTCAACATTGTAGTAAAGACGTGACATATTCTTCGTGGGATGGTGTCTCTTGCATTGACGGCAACATTTAGGAAGTACCATTTTTGTGATACGTCTAAGTTTTCATTTATCAATGCTATATTTCTCTTGTGTATGTCTTTATAGTTCAAGATCGTATGTTTAATGAAATATATTTTTCTTCATCGTGTTGTAAGATGCAAAATGCTACAAGGAATCAATTAGTTGATGTTAGTATGCATGTGTTTTCTTCATGAGTACTTCATCTTAGTATCCATAATAAGTTTACATTAATTTTACATATTTAATTATATTTGATGATTTTGAAAATCTGCAATTATGATTATGTAGTTATTAACTTTTAATTTTGGTAGTATTTGTTTATTCTTCTAGTTATGTATGATTTATGTTAATTTATTCATACATTTAATGTAATAATTATATTTTTAATTATTTAATTGATTTTTTTGATATATATGTACATTAAATTATGTATATATACACATACAAACATACATACATACACATTGTTCATGTACTCACATTTAAGAAATTGTATAAATAGAGATTGTATGTTATTCTAATATTTATCATTTCATTATGCATTTTAATATTTGTAATATCAAAAATATTGCAATAAAGTTACCAATTTTTTTTAAGAACATGCATATTATAGATGGTATTAAGGATAGTATTTTTAAAAAACACAAAAGAACATATCTAATTGAATAGAGCTAGAATTAATGGTTGGATATTCACTTAGGTAAGTTATTCACTTGTAGAGGTCAATAAAATACTATAGTTAAAAGATTAGGACTAGGATAGTAGTAAGCATTTAGAGAGGTTATGCATTTAGACATGTTCTATTGTAATAGGAGAAGAATGCTACAAGATAACTATATTTTTAAAGCAACAAAAATATTAAATTATTTATTAAATATTACAAAAAAATTAAGAAGAAAAATAAAATAACATAAGAAAGATGTTGACTTTTATAAGAATGATCTTAGTCTTGCCTCTATTGTACTATCAAACAAGAAAAGAGCATGTGAATGTCTTCCAAAACTACCACATATAAAATAAGCATCTTAGTTTTAGATCACTTTTGTAATAATTTTAGATCCACAAATTTTTTTTAAAAAGTCGAAATAATATTCCACAAAAAAAATTCTTTAGATGAGGGCAAATGTTTATTATGTCATTAGTCTTTCCATTTATTATAAGTGGTTTTGTAAACATAATACTTAGCAATATGTTTGATAATCATATACTACTTCTAATGCATCTTATTCTAAATGATTTTTTTTTTTTTTTTTAATTTCTATTATTTAGCCATTCAAAAATTCTATTTAACCTAATTTTATATATTATCTAAACTTGGCAATGTCAACAATATATTCTATATTCTATATGAATATATTGAAAAAATAAGAAAATCTTAAAAGTTTATACAAATAATATAGTCTATAATTAATCTCATCAAAAGGATTTATAAACAAGTTATTTTATAATTTAAAAATTTATGTAAAAGATAAAAATAATATGACATAAAATAAAATTGGATATTAATTTTTGTATAAGTATATAATATTCAATATAAATTTGTAATTTTAATATATATATATTTAATTTTTTTTATTAGTAAAATTTTAAAGCAAATATTACGCTAATAAAATATTATGGTATTTAGGAGGAAGATAAAAAAATAATATATTGATATTAATATATATAGATTTATACCTATACATACAAATTAAAAATAATAATAATAAAAAATAATAAACAAGTATTGTCATTGCATTGTCATTGCATTTAAATTAACATGCCACAAAATATGCTAAAAAAAAAGAATTAATCTTCATCAATTACTTTAATGATAAGGAATCAAGAGATGCATTAGATATAATGATTTAATAAATGGAATGACACAATTTAAGGATAAAGTATATCAACTCTTTCATTGGCAATATATCTATATTTGTAGGAACTTGTTAATACCATATCTCAATTTTGTCAAAGCCACACCTCTCTTTTATACTAAATGATTCATTTTGTACCTTGTTCCTTCTCTCTGACCTCATTCTGATCCTACATCTTCAATTCCCCATTCTTGTATCTTGTTCTCAACCACCATCCATGTCCCTAATCACACCATCTTGTCTCAACTTTCTCTATTTCCACCCTTTCGAATCCTACCCTCTCCAACCTCATCTCTTCCAATCCTACTCCTTGTTCCTATTCTCTCCAATTCCACTTCATATTTCCACCTCTCTAATTTGATCCCATGTCTCCATCTTCTCCAACTTCACTTCATGTCTCTACCTCTCTAACTCCACCCCATGTCTGAACCATCTCTAACTCTACTTCCTATTCCAACCCTACTTCTTTTCTACCTTCTCCACCTCGACCTTCCTTGCCTTCACCTTCTCTAACCTCTTTTGTCTCTACCTTCGTAGATTCTATCTTCCATTCTAACCTCCCTTGTTCCTACTATTGTACTATAATTATTTATAGTATATAAAAATTAACTAAAAAATATAACATATTTATAAGTATTTATATATATATATATATATATATATATATATATTAGAGTGGGTAGTAGGTTAACTTAAAAAAAGTTGATGTAAGAAAATTTATTTTGAAATTTACCTATTTTGATTATAGTATTTAAATTATATAGGATTTAGATATTTAATATAAAATTTAAAGAAAAGTTTGGAACTCAAAGATGAAGATCCAAACCTCTAAAAAACTTATTTAGAGAGATGAAAGCAAGGTGTAGATGGATGAAGGCAAGGGGTGAAGATCTTCATTCCTATTGATTAAAAGCCATGCCCAATAGGCTCTTAGGAGGTTGTCTGCGACCATAACAAGGGTTTTGGTAACTTCAAAAGAAGCATTCAAAAATCAAAAGCAAGATTTGTAAGATTTAGAATTTGGACTACAATTTGTGTATAAATTTTAGAAGATTTGGACTTAAGGTGATGAAGTTATAGCCGTTTGAAGTTAAGGTGTCTTTTTAAAAAATGTTGTTGCTCTTTTGAAGATACGAGGAATTTTACAACAGCTTTTGGAGATAAAGAGGTGTAGCCACAAGGATGTTTTTTAGATCTATATCTTTTGTGAAAGAATTTTTACATTTGGAGTTTGTATAAAAGAATTATAGATTGTTGAAGACAACACATGTAATTCAAAGGCAATAAGTGAGTCGTTTTATTGATAGTAATGATTAGAGCCATATCTTGAGTTTCTAGACGAATTTTTGGCTCAAAATTTTAAAAGTATGTGTTATTAGGTTAAAAAGCTATATATCATAATTTCATGGTATTTAAATACTTAGTTTGTGAGATATGAAGAAAATTGCATACATATGTATGTAAGCAAGGGTTTGAAGCTAATATTAGGGTTTTGGAAATATTTCAAGATCCATAACAAATTTATAGTTGAAATTTGTTGTGGTAGTTGTTGAAAATACATCAGTACTTTATGTAAAAATTTGGTTTGTTTCGATGGTCCAATTGTAAGATATAAGCTATTAAAGTTTGAAAAAAATTAAACTTAAGAATATATAAAGTTTTATAATATTTTTATTACATTTTAGGTGATCTTTGATACTTAGGACTTATATATTGATTTAATTATTCCTATAGGGACAATTATATATATAGACTTGGTGCTTTTTTGTCCTATGACTTGGTTGAGCAATTAGTGACAATTAGAATATTTTCTAGCCCGATATTACCTTCTCCAATCCTACTTCCTATTCTAATTCCATCTCGTCTCCAATTTATTATAAGTATTTTTGTTTAAAATTAATAATAATTACCTATGCATATAAAATTGATTACTTAAGTAAAATATAAAACATATGAATATTTTTTATATGTATATATGTACATTTTATTATAAAATATTGATAAAATATTATTTTATTTTTTAGCAAAAAAAAAAGAGAGATTATTATTACACCTTGTTAATTTAAGATGTTAATTTCACTCTAAGCTATTTATTGTAAAAATATAATTTATTTTTATCATAAAGAATATTTTATTATAATAATAATTTATATATATTTTTAAATATAATAAAATAAAATTAAGTGTATTGATTAGGTGAATTATAATACCAATATTAATCTTTGAAATTAGAGTTGCTTATATACTTGTTTGAACAAAAATATTTATTTAGAAAGTTTTTATTGTACTAAAATTAAAAAGGTTGTCGCTACAATCGTCACTATCATTACAGAGTCTTTATATGCACATAAATTTTAATAAATAGCTTCAATCTTAATTTAAGTTTGTAACTTAAGAAGTACTTTATATTAATGGTATTTGTTTAGAATTGGAACAAAGTTTCAATCAATAGATAAAAAATATCTTATCTAAATGTGTTTATATAATTCACATTTTTTCTTATTTTATTAATAGTTTTAATTTTTTAATTTTAAAAAGGCAATAATTAAACACATAATCTAAAAATTCTTGGTTTAGCCAAGTATTATTCTTGTGATAAAATGTACTTTGTGATACAACAAAACTAGACCACTGCATGAAATAGTTGAGGATGAAATCAACATCTTAAATTAACAAAGTATAGTAATAAAATTTATTATTTTTATAATAACAATAATTATTATTATTTTTTCCAAAATATAAATGATGTTTTATCAATATTTTATACCAAAATGCACATATATACATATAAAAAATATTCATATGTTTTATATTTTATTTTAGTGATCAATTCTATATGCATAATTTTTTTTTTTTTTGTTTTTTTTTTTTTTTAAATTACACATACTTATAATAAATTGGAGACAAGGTGGAGACAAGGGAGGTGGAGTTGAGGGCAAGAACGGTGGCTACGATCAGAGTACAAGAACAGGGAATAGGGGACACTGGGTGGGAATAAGGTTGGAGATAGGAGATGGAGTACAAAATGAATCATTTAGTGTGAAGGGGGTGTGGCTTTAACAAGTCTCTCTCTCTCTCTCTCTCTCTCTCTATATATATATATATATATATTATAGATGAAGGAAAAAATGAAGAAAAAATAAAAACAAAATATTTTTTGAGAAATTAAAAATCAAAACAAATCATACCAACCTTGTGTAAATATTTGATGTGAAGATCCAAGACCAATTTGC